GAATAACCAGTAGAAACTTGCTTTGTTGAGTTCCCTCTTTATTGCAGGTTGATTCCAAATGGTTTTTAAGGATTAAAAGCAAGAATATACACTTATTAAAACATTGAAATGCGTAAATTTCACTTCATATTTAACCAAGAAAACGTCTACTGGTGTGTCGTGTTAATCAACAGATAATCTCCACAATGCGAGTATAGCTAAGCGTCTCGTTTTCACAGCGTCTGGTATGCTTGTCGTTAAACGATGTCTATCAAACTATCGTCTGGTTTCTCGAGTGAGTGTTACCGTCTTGAATTGGACAAATAGTCCGAGATTTGGAATAGGGGGTTCATGTTTTCGGAAAGTATTTTATTAAAAGAAGAATAGAAATGAGTTTGGGACTTAAGAAAATGTTCGGTTTTGCGTGAAATTCGATTTTGTGGGCATTGAGTACACATAGTATTTTTCTATGTTAATATTTTTTTTTTTCGAAAATGTGCAAGTCGAAATCTGTATAACTCGAACTTTTTATGCCAGTCCCATTAGATTCGACTTAGGCGAACTCGACTGGTATTATAAATTTATTATTATCATTACTCTATTACTATAATGGCATCATTATTATATCAATATATTCATTATTTAGGTATATTATTTATGAATGAGTATAACGAGAAATATTTCCTAGTCCTAATTTATAATGAAATATAATAACTTACTTTAAAATGAGATTATCATAATTCAAATACTGAACGTTATTGTTCAAGTTATGAAGCTCAACGCAGTATTTTTAGAGACTCACCTTGTTATGGACTCATAACTATAATAATCAATGTAGCCCATTTGTTTGCAGACCAAGGTAGCAGTATGGTTGGTGAACGGTCGATCAGGTGTGGCCACAATTGTATATTTTACGTCTTTCACTTTGACGTTCAACACCCCGACGGCTTCATTTACACCATTGACCAAAGTCCAGTTTAGCAGTTCTTCTGTGAAAATTAATACTACGTACAATTATTTACATTCTGAATAAGAAAAACAAATATTAGGCCTAAACATCTGTATTTTACCTCCTATAACACCTGTATTCATCCAACTCTTATAGTCTAACCCAGCACCATTACATGGTGTCATATCGCTACATGTCATGTCATATCGCTACATAAAAGAAATACAAACTGCACCATTATCAGTAAGCATTTCGGCTTACCTGTGCACGTAAATGGTAATAAAAAGAGAAAATGCACCAAGTAGATGATATTCCTCATGTTTAATTCACGTATCGCTGTTTCTGCTGGGTTTTTCAATCACTGCACACGGTAGGATGAAGTCGGCAAACTGAAAGCATACCGTTCAGCCATGCAGTTATAAACACTGTACTCTGTGACGTTTTTCGGAATTTCCGCCAATATTTTTAGACTTGGGATTTCCATCTTTTCCATATTCGACTCACATAAACTTATACTTTATTTTATATATAAGTAATTAATGTATAATGATAACATACAACAACAACAACAATATTTGCAATTGCGTTTACAGTGCGTTTTGAGTGATTTCATTATACGGCCATTGTTTTGTATGCAGTTGCCATGACATCAGCACTGTTGCAGCATCTCTTCAGTCGAACAACAAGAATTTTGCTGTTTGCATTTCTTTTCAAGGAAACAGCTGGGCGGATGCAGGATTTGGTGGTAGGGGTTGCGTGAAAATCTACACCACCTTAGCCCCACCATGTTTGGGGCTGAGATGTGGAAATTTTGAGGATATGGACCTTTAGATGCCCGGAACTTGCACTCTCATACTTTTAAAATCTTACCGGTACTATATTTTTAATAAAAAAGATATATTAACAATAAAATAAAACAAAACTTAATACAATTTAGGCCGA